CTTTCCGGGTCCACTAGTGGAACCTCTTCTAACCGGTTCGGTAGATTTGACGAACCGGTTCTACCGAATAGGTGCGAACTGGTAGGAACCCACCTGTGTTATGGCCCAAAATATCTCTTGTTAAGTTAGGCATTTGTTAAATGAGTTTTGTCCCATTTTTACAACCTTTCCTGCCACAGTTGTTAAGTGAATCACTCCAGTCGTTAAGTTAATAACACGGTCCTTAAGTGGACCTGGCTTCCCCACTGATTTTGCTTATCAGGAGGTTGCAAAAAGAGATCACATAACCTTGGGACACAGCAACGGTCATAAGTATGAACCAGTTGCCAAGCATCTGAATTTTGATGGTAGAGAATTCATGGGGAAGGTTGGGGTTTATATAATATTTGCAGGGATTGTGAAAGTCACTCTTTTCAGGGCCATTGCAACTTTGAATAGTCACTAAATGTTCTGTAGTAAGTCCAGGACTACCTTTAATACATTATAAATGATTATAAATTACTGTTTATAGCCAAAAGCAATCTGATGCAATTTTCCAAAAACTTAAATGTTTTAAATATTTGTTGCACAGCATTCTTGTTGCAAATACTGAAGCAGCCGCGTGATAAGGAACTGAGGTGGTTATTAACATTTATTCATTCATTCCCTTAGTCAAATAGCAAACAGTATTGCATATTTTAAATCATATATGTGCCCAAAAGTCTATTTCACTCTCAACATATATGAATAAGAAAAAAGTGCACTATCTGCAAATACTATAAGCTCCAAAGCAGGAAAGGAAAAAAATAAGGAAAAATACAGTTGAATTTAACTTGCAAGTGAAAAAATGCATTCAAAGCACGCATTGTAAATTGTTCAGAAATGCAAAGATGTCATTCATGCAGTTAAAATGTTTGATCGAGGTTTTTTTTTTACCTTCCTGGCTGTTAGCAGCAGGAGAAGCATTAAGGACATCAGCTACGAAAACAGTCAGAAAAGAAAGGAATTGACAGATAAATGAACATAACATTCAGACCAGGTAGAATTATCATGTTGATGCAAACACTTAAGAGAACTGCTTCAGGGAAGCATCAGTAGAAATATTTTATAAAGCCATTGGACTTCATATCCAAAGCTGTCGGAAAAATCAGAGAACTGACTTCTTAGTATGAGTATTTAGCAAAGATGGGAATCAGGTAAGAGATTAAGACAACATTCTTATTACACACTTTCATGGCAATGACTGAAAGCAATGGAGCTTATTTCGTAAAAACACATAAGAGATTGTGATGTTAATTTATCAGACAGGTGATTTCATCGTATGAGCTACAGAAGAGTCCATATGGGATGAATCAGCAAATTCTTTACATCATGCAACAAAATAGCCAACAACATATTAATATTTAACCCATTAGCTATAATGTACATTGTGCATTCTAATTTAACTTTTTAAATTACATTTAACCACTCAATCAGCATTCAAGGAGGTGTAAGATAGGCAGTACGGCTATCTACGCATTGAGCTGTTTTGCATGGCAGGACACTGAAATTAGAAATGTCGGATAGTTTTGTTTTAATCATAGGATACCTTTTGCAATTTCTGTTCCCTGCCTTGTCGTTATCATTTAAATCAAAGCCTTCAATGCAATATACGTGAATGTCTGAAAACGTTAAACTGAGGAACTTTCAACAGTAAAGATCTATTTAACTAAGATTGAACGAAGATTTAGATGAACTCCAAACAGGCTGACATTTCATACCATTATTGTCCCAGTACTTTACATAAGCAAAGTATCTCTATTCCCAGAAGTGGATATTAGTTAAGTGCTTTATAGAGCCGAGGTGGCGCAGTGGTTAGGGTGCAGTACTGCAGGCCACTTCAGCTGACTGTTATCTGCAGTTCAGCGGTTCTAATCTCACCGGNCTTTGCAAAAATGGACATGCGGAGGGTTTGGGAGGCTCCTGAGGGCTGGGAAGGGCAAAAACGAGCAAAAATGGGCTGTTTTTGCTTGTTTTTGCCCCCCCTCCAGCTCTCAGGAGAACTCTAAGAGCCCCCCAAAGCTCTGCATGCCACTACCCCTTTTTTTGCACACACACAAAAAAATAGGCATGCAGAGGGTTTGGGGAGGCCTGCAGAGTGCAAAAACTTTTTTTTAATTTACCTCTTCAAAATCATGGTGCGTCTTATACTCCGATGTATCTAATAGTCCGAAAAATATGGTAATTAGGAAAAAAGCAGGAAGAATTGAATTAAAATCCTCAGCTGATCTCTGGGCCTTGCATTCTCTCTTCCTTAAAACCACCTCACAAGGTTATGCGATGTGAGATTGATAAGAGGGATGTCATTGGGAACACCTCTCCCCCCACTTCCTTGGAGGAATCAAGCACAACGGGACCAGAATTTCAGCTGCTAAATAAGGCAGTTGTTAAGTGAGTCATGCCCAAATGTACAACCTTTTGCCACAGTTGTGAAGCAAACGACTGCAGTGGTTAAGTGATTCACACAATTGCTAAGTAAATCTGCTTCCCCAATTGACTTTGTCAAAAACCAGTGGGAAGATCCAAAATGGGTGATTATGTGATCCCAGGACAATGAAAACATCATAAATGCGGGAGAGATCTCCCAAAAAAGAAGCCCCAAAATAGTAAGGAAAGGAGGAGAAAAGGGGAAAGTTACTAGAATAATAAAACTAAATATACTGAAGAAAAGATATAACTACAAAAATAGGGGAAAGAAAAAGAAGAAGTTAGGGAAAGGGGGAGAAGAAGGGAAAGAATTAAAACTGGGATTTTTGGGAGCCCAAGAGAAAATGGTTAAAAGAGGAAGAAATGGAAAAAGAGTTATATTAGCAGACTAAAGAGAATTGTTATTCTCAGATTGTTATTGTTATGTAACTAATTAAGAAATAAAGAAATGACAGTATATTGTTAATGGTAGAAAAAAATTGAAAGAAATACTCTCTATGCTTAAATTGAATTAGAGGACCCATGCTGTTTTATAGCAAAACATGTCAATGGAGAAAATAAGAAATGAAAATTTGGTGTAACTTTGAAGGGGCAATTGAAGATATTGTTTATGTATTAAGAAAAAATAGCTATAAAGATGNGTCTAAAAATGTTAGAAAAGCAAGAGGAATGAACTATTCAAGTAATTGGAATAATGATGACTAATTCAAAGGTGCCATTAAGTGTAGAAAGTTATCAAATCACTGAGGCAATTTCACAAGTACCAGACAATGCAAATAATTTAACTGCAATTCTTGGAATTCTCTATTCTGATGATGGTTTAATTACAAGTTTTCCAGTATAGTTGAAAGAAGAGTTCCAAGTAAATCTACAATTCTCAAGAAAACAAGCGTGGGATTTTTTTCTTCATAGATTCTAACAAGGTGGGGAATACTTTGAGAAAAAGAAGTTTATAATTGCTTGATAGTTATTGCACAGAAGAAAAATATTTTATTCTATAAGGAAAAGATAGAGGGAGTGATTTAATGGGTAATTGGAATTAGAATGGATTTTTACTGATCTGATATATGTAATAGAAAGACAGGTCTCTTGTATGAATTTGTTTTTTATTTGTTTCACAGATTTCTGATATTGATTTTCTAGTGAATAGACTCTCTCAGTTGAGAATTACTTCTCTGACTGGCTCCAACACTTCTTTAAACCCCCTGATGTTCCTTCCATTGTTTCTTGATACGTGAAGTGCAATAAGTGATGTTAATATAACAATTACTAGACTAAATTTTTCATCACTCATCAGTGCATGATTATAGAAAATAAAAGTGTGGATTTTCTTACTTGTGGCCTTTTCTGATGAGTGAGTTAATATGATAGCAGTTCGACTTGGAGAAGTTGGAACTAAAAATGGACAAAAACAGTCAGAGCATATCTGTGAAATAATAGCACTGAAGCCAGGCAAAGTAATAAATACCGTAATCTGTCCGACTCTTCAGCTTAACACTGCAGGGATATCTTTAGTAGTAAACTGCTTATATATGATCACTTCGTTTCCAATCAAGGATTTTTTCATACTAGAGATTTACATTATTTATAATATGAAACAGCCACTGTCATAACTTAATAAAGTCTTTTTTTCCTCAAAAATATATCCTCAATCAATGATAGTTAGATTAGTCTTTGAGATGATAGCCACATCCATGGAGCCAATAGTTTCACTGAACTTCTAGATGTAGAAAGACCAATGGTGAACAAGCTAATTATTATTTTTAAAGAAAAAAAAATCCAATTGGAAGTTATGACACCTATCATTTATACTTAACAATTTATTAAAAAGTTATGTTTGGAATGGAAAAAAAGAAATTTGCTACTCACGAGCGCTAGTCTCTCCAATAACACCTATTCCTAAAGAAAGGAAATTTAAATGTCACTCCTATTGCTTTTACCATTCTTCCATTTATCCAGTCATATATTTCAGTGAGTAATTTATAAAAACTAGAGTAACTATCTCTTTATCAGATTTAGAATCATCCTCATCATCTATTTACAGTCAGACAATAGCTATCTGTCGATAATACATATAACTCCAGAGAACACCAAAAAGGTAATGAACAAATCCATTTTTTCTGATTGAATTAACTGTTCCTATAGAAGCACCAGTGGTGGGTTGCAGGCGGTATGCCCCGGTACGGGCATACCGGAACCTGCTCGGAACACCGGGTACCGTTGTGGTACGGTGCTCCAGAGCGCCCGCCTGCTCATTACCTGTCCTTTAAAGCCTTCTGCGC